CACTCACCTCAGCCTTCCAAAGGCGCAGGATTACAGGCTGAGCCACCGAGCCCGGCTAACCAATTACTTGAAGAGCTATTATGTGCCAGTCATTGTTCTAGACCCTGGGGTTATATCAGTGAGCAAAACAAAGAAAATGAAAGTCCAGGCTAGTCCAGTGTGGGAGACAGATAATCAACAAGGAAGTGCAAAATAAACCCATGGGATGGTGATGGTGAGTCCTCTAAGGGTACCCAACAGGATAACACAACACGCAGTGAAGTGGGAGGGTCTGGGGCTTGTATGAGAGGGGGTGGTCAGGGAAGACCCCTGTCAAGGGAAAGACAAGGAGGCGGCAATCTTCTTGTAAAGACTGGGTGGGGCAGAAATGGAGTAGGCAGAGTATAGACCTTGAGGTGGGGACCAGCTTGACCAAATTTATTTTATTTTATTTATTTATTTATTTTTTGAGTTGGAGTCTCACTCTGTCGCCCAGACTGGAATGCAGTGGCCGCTTCCGGCCACCGCAGCCTCGACCTCCTGGGCTCCGGCGATCCTTCCGCCTCAGCCTTCCAAGTAGCCGGAATCACAGGCATGCGCTACCACACCTGGCTGATTTTTTTTGATTTATTGTAGAGATGAGGTCTCGCCAAGTTGCCCAGGCAGGTCTCGAACCTGCGGACTCAGGCAATTCACTCACCTCGGCCTCCCAAAGTGCTGGGATTACAGGCTGAGCCACCGAGCCTGGCCTATCAAATTTATTATTATTATTAATTTATTTTTGAGTCAGAGTTTCATTCTGTCATCCAGGCTGGAGTGGAGTGGCATTCCCACGGCCACTGCAGCCTCAAACTGCTGGACTCAGGTGATCCTTCCATCTCAATTTTCCAAAGTAGCTGGAACTACAGGTGTGCACCACCACACCTGGCTAATTTTTAGATCAATCCTCTTGCGTCTGCCTCCCAAAATGCTGGGATTACAGGTGTGAGCCACTGTGCCCAACCTCATAGATGTTTCTTGAAAAGGAGACTCTGTGGTTATATATTTCTGGGAAGAACTGAGTTTAAACAAAGCATGTTTTCTTATAGGAGAGGAAGGAAAGACCAAGGGAATAAAAACACAGTGCCAGCTAATATTTATTGATAATACATGCCAGATACTCTGATAAGTATATCCCAAGTGTCATTTCTTTGCCTTTTTTTTTTTTTTTGAGTCAGAGTCTCATTCTGTCGTCTAGACTAGAGTGCAATGGCATGATCATGGCTCATGACAGCCATGACCTTCTGGGCTCAGGCATTCCTTCCACCTCAGCCTCCCAAGTATCTGGGACTACAGGCATGTGTTTGTTACCAAGTCTGGCTAATTGTTTTGTTTTGTTTTGTTTTGAGTCGGATTCTCACTTTGTCCCCCAGGCTGGAGTGTAGTGGTACCCTCATGGCCACCACAACCTCAACCTACTGAGCTCAGGTGATCCTTCTGCCTCAGCTTTCTAAATAGCTGGAACTACAGATGTACACCACCACACCTAGCTAATTTTTGATTTTTTTTTTTTTTTTTTATTTAAAATTTTTTTTTTTTTTGAGTTGGAGTCTCATTCTGTCACCCAGACTGGAGTGCAGTGGCCGCTCCTGGCCACCGCAGCCTCGACCTGCTGGGCTCCGGCGATCCTTCCGCCTCAGCCTTCCGAGTAGCCGGAATTACAGGCATGCGCTACCATGCCCGGCTAATTTTTTGATCTATTATGGAGATGAGGTCTTGCCTGCCCAGGCGGGTCTCGAACCTGCGGGCTCAGGCAATCCACTCACCTCAGCCTCCCAAAGGCGCGGGATTACAGGCTGAGCCACCGAGCCCGGCTAATTTTTGATTTATTATAGAGACAAGCTCTCGCCATGTTGCCCAGGCTGGTCTCGAACCCCTGGGCTTAGGCAGTCCTCTTGCCTCTGCTTCCCAAAGTGCTAGGATTACAGGTGTGAGCCACTGCACCTGGCAGATAATTTTTTTGTAGAGATGATTCACTATGTTATCCAGGCTGGTGGTCTCAAATTCGTGGGCTCAAACAATCCTCCGACTCCAGCCTCCTGAAGTGCTGAGATTATAGGTATGAGCCACTGTGCCAAGCCCAAGTGTCATTTCAATTAGTGCTCATGGCAATTCTGTGAGTTGAGGTGATGTGATCACCATGGGGCACTGAAGTTCAGGGACGCAAGCGCCTGGGGGAAGCTGTGATGGCAACAGTGCGGACCTGACCTCAGACAGCTGACATCAGAGCCAGTGCTTTTTTTTTTTTGATTTGGAGTCTCACTCTTGTCACCCAAACTGGAATGCAGTGGCATGCTCACGGCCACTGCAGCCTCAACCGGCTGGGCTCCGGCGATCCTTCCGCCTCAGCCTTCCAAGTAGCTGGAACTACAGGCGCGTGCTACCACGCCCAGCTAATTTTTGATTTACTGTGGAGACACAGTCTCGCCAAGTTGCCTGGGCGGGTCTCAAACAATTGCCTGCAGGCTCAGGCAATCCACTCGCCTTGACCTCCCAAAGTAGTGGGATTACAGACTGAGCCTGGTCAGAGCTGGTGGTTTTAATTAACATGCCACATTTGGACCCTGAAAGCTTGGAATTAAGGTCATATCGTTGTCAAAAAGAAAACAAAACAAAAACAAAGCCCAAGCTCTAGTCTTTAAATTCTTTAAATATAGCATCTTTACGAGAGCAGCATAAAACAGAAGAGTTATAAGAAAGCCAAATCCACGGGGACCGAGTTCCACCAGAAGGAATTTATTGTCTCGCTTCTGCTGTGGTAGGAACCGTGTTCTTGGAAAGACCTTTCTTCCCCTCATTGAATAAATAGCTCAGACACAGGGAGTTAAAATGAGGAACTGCTAAGCTGCAGGAGCTGTGAGCAGCTTGTTAGTGAACAAAATAGCACAGTTTTGTTTTGTTTTTGTGTTTTTTTTGTCTTTTTTTGAGTTGAAGTCTCACTCTGTCGCCCTGGCTGGAGGGCACTAACTAGCACACTCACAGTCACCGCAGTCTCTACCTGGTGGGCTCAGGCAATCCTTCCACCTCAGCCTTTCTGGTTGCTGGAACTACAGGTGTGCACCACCACACTCAGTTTATTTGTTCATCTATCTATTCATTTATTTGAGTCAGAGTGTCACTCTGTTGCCCAGGCTGGAGTGCAGTGGCATGCTCATGGCCACCCCAACATTGACCTGCTGGGTTCTGGGGATCCTTCCGCCTCAGCCTTCCAAGTAGCTGGAACTACAGGGGCACACTACCATGCCCAGCTAATTTTTTTTTTGATATATTGTAGAGACGAGGTCTTACCAAGTTGCCCAGGCTGGTCTTGAACTCTTGAGCTCAGGCAGTCCTCTCGCCTCAGCCTCCCAAAGTGCTGGGATTACAGGCTTGAGCCATGGCGCCCAGCCTAATTTTTTTATTTATTGTAGAGATGAGGGCTTTCCAAGTTACCCAAGCTGATCTCGAACTCCTATTCTCAGGCAATCCTCTTGCCTCAGCTTCCCGAAGTGCTGGGGCAATAGGCGTGAACCATCGCGCCTGGCCCTTTACTGTCTCTCTTTTATTTTATTTTATTTTTTTGAGATGGAGTCTCACTGTTGCCCAGACTGAAGTGCAGTGGCACACTCCCGGCCACCGCAGCCTCGACCTGCTGGGCTCCGGCAATCCTTCCGCTCAGCCTTCCAAGTAGCTGGAACTACAGGCGCGAGCTACCACGCCCAGCTAATTTTTTGATTTATTGTAGAGATGAGGTCTCGCCAAGTTGCCCAGGCGGGTCTCGAACCTGCGGGCTCAGGCAATCCACTCACTTCAGCCTCCCAAAGGCGCGGGATTACAGGCTGAGCCACCGAGCCCGGCTACTTTTCTCTTTTTTATAACTTACTATTTATTTGAGAGATGGGGTCTCGCGATGTTGCCCATGCTGGTCTCAAAAAAGGGTCCTTTTCTGATCATACAGTTGGGCAGGATTTTGAAATAGCTCTCAGAAATAAAGATCACAACGAGGCCTCCAGGTTGGAATCAGGAACACAGGGCCTCTTTTTCTTGTCTGCTTGTTGGCCTCGTTATCTTATGTTGCTGACAGGCCTTCTCCTAGTCTTAGAAAACATGACTTTTTTTTTCTGTCTTCTGAGCATTGACATGACTTCTGGCAACCCCAACTGAACAAGTGAGAGAAAACAGCCTTCCAGCTTCTGAACATGAAATTGGCAATACTCTGGGGCCCTCTGGGCCAGGCGTCAATATCACCTGGCCTCAGTATCTTTTTGTTTGTTTGTTTGTCTTTGTTTTTTGGTTTTTGGTTTTTTTTTGAGTTGGAGTCTCACTCTGTTGCCCAGACTGGAGTGCAGTGGCCGCTTCCAGCCACCCAGGTGGCCTCGACCTGCTGGGCTCTGGCGATCCTTCTTCCTCAGCCTTCCGAGTAGCTGGAACTACAAGCGTGCGCTACCACGCCCGGCTAATATTTGACTGTTGTAGAGATGAGGTCTCCCCAAGTTGCCCAGGCGGGTCTCGAGCCCGCGGGCTCAGGCAATCCACTCACCTCGGCCTCCCAAAGTGCTGGGATTACAGGCTGAGCCACCGAGCCCAGTCTCTTTTAAAGTTTAGTTGGCGTCTCACCCCGTTACCTAGGCTGGAGTGCAGTGGTGCAATCACAGCTCACCCTCACAGCCTTGATCTCCTGGGCTCAGGCAATCCTTCCACCTCAACCTCCCAAGTAGCTGGGGGTACAGGTACACCCCATGGTGCCCAGCTAATTTTTTTTTTCTGAGTCGAGAGTCTCACTATGTTGTCCAGGCTGGAGTGCAGTGGCACACTCATGGCCACCACGGCATTGACCTCCCGGGCTCAGGCGATCCTTCCAGCTCAGCCTTCCAAGTAGCTGGAATTATAGGCATGTGCCACCATACCCAGCTAATTTTTTGATTTACTGTACAGACAGAGTCTCACTATGTAGCCTAGGCTGGTCTCAAATCCATGGGGTCAGGCAATCCTCTCACCTTCACTTTTTTTTCCTTTCATATAGATAAAGTCTCACTATGTTGCCCAGGCTGGTCTCAAACTCCTGAGCTCAAAACCATTCTCCCACCTCAGCCTCCCAAAGAACTGAGATTACAGAAGTGAGCTGCCACACCCTTCCATATTTATACTTTATTTATTTTGAGTCGGAGTCTCACTTTGTCACCCAGGCTGGAGTGCAGTGGAACATTCATGGCCACTGCAGCCTTGACCTGCTAGGCTCAGGTGATCCTTCTGCCTTAGCCATCCAAGCAGCTGGAACTACAGGCATGCCCGGCTAATTTTTGTATTTATTGTAGAACCAAGGTCTCACCAAGTTGCCCGGGTAGGTCTTGAACCCGTGGACTCAGGCAATCCTCTCTCCTTGGCCTCCCAAAGTGCTGGGATTACAGGCTGAGTCACTGAGCCCGGTCATATTTACACTTTTTTTTTTGAGTTGGAGTCTCACTCTGTCGCCCAGACTGGAGTGCAGCAGCCTCGACCTACTGGGCTCCGGCGATCCTTCCAAGTAGATGGAACTACAGGCGCGCGCTACCACGCCCAGCTAATTTTTTGATTTATTGTAGAGATGAGGTCTCTCTAAGTTGCCCAGGCGGGTCTCGAACCCACAGGCTCAGGCAATCCACTTACCTCGGCCTCCCAAAGCACGGGATTACAGGCTGAGCCACCAAGCCCGGCTATATTTACCTGTTTATTTACTTATTGATGATTTCCTTCCCCCATTGGAATATAAATTGCATGAGAGAAGATATTTTGTCTTTTTTGTCCAGATTATATCTATAATATCCTGGCATAGTAGTTAGCTTAATAAATATTTGTTGAATAAATGAATATCAGACATCATGTATTATCTTATTTAATCCCCCAATCCTAGGAGGTAAGTATTATTATTATCCTCATTTTGCAGGCTAGGAAACTAGTGCTTAAGTTAAGAGAATTTATACATGGTCATATTCCTAGAAATTAAGAAGCTTGAAGTATTAGCCAATGCAATTAGACAGGAGAAAGAAATAAGAGGGTTGAAATTTGAAAGGTGGAGAGAATATTCTCATTATCTAAATCAGAATTTCACTGACTGTAGCACTTCTAACCATCATACTCATAATATTACAATAATCAGCCGAGCACAGTGGCTCAAGTCAGTAATCCCAGCACTTTGGGAGGTGAGGCGAAAGGATTGTTTTAGCCCAGGTGTTTGAGACCAGTCTGGGCAATTTGATGAGACCTCATCTCTACAAGAAATCAAAAAATTAGCTGGGCGTGGTGGTATGCACCTGTAGATCCAGCTATTTGGAAGGCTGAGGCACAAGAATCGCCTAACCCCAGCAGGTTGAGGCTGCAGTGGCCGTGAGCATGCCACTACACTCCAGCCTGGGCAACAAAGTCATACTCCAACTCAAAAAAACCACAGAATAATCATTAAGACCATTTACTTTCAGTACAGATAGGCGTCTGCAATAAAACAACCCATTTATTTGTCCCCCTTTTCCCAGTGGCCTGTTTTCACCAAGAGAAGGCTCAGGAGGAAGAAGAGAAAAAGAAGCTCTGGTCGCCAGGGCCAGCAATGCCAGCAGGAACAAGGAGGAGAAGACAATCATAAGGAAATTGTAAGTCACCTTGCTGACCCTGTTGCACTAGACAATTGCTACAGGAAGTGGGGTGGGGAGAGGAAGCTGGCTAACTGCCCTTTTCTATCCATGTGGCAGTACTACAGCTAATGTAAAAACTCAGTGCCCGTGTGTTATAATAATGCTGCCAGGTAGTAGTCTGCATTCTTGACATATGTTAATTCATTGAATCATCACAACAACCTTATGAGGTAGGAACTATTATTATCTCCGTTTGACAGATGGAGAAACACATACTGAGAGGCAGAGTCATTTGCTGAAGTTCACAGAGACAGTAAATAGTAAAGTTACGATTTGAACCCAAGGAAGTCTGGCTTCCATACTCCACTGCCCTCCTATGATATAGTAACCATAAACAAAAAATAGGAATAATATTACAACAATACGGGAAGATGATATGAATAATTACTGGAGCTTAAGAGGGATAATTCATCACCTCCCTTACCTCCAAATTTGAAACCAGTCAAGACAGTCAGTAGGTACAAGTATCAGCTTTATCACCGGGAAAGCAGGTTTGGAGAACAAGGCCTAGACTTGAAGCTAAAATGGAACTTCCCACTCCTTCCCCACCAAAGGGACTGACTCAGGCCTCTATCCTCAGGGGCAGGACCTGGGGAAGGCTGTGGGGTGGGGTGGCCACAGGAGCAGAGGGGAGAGCCACCAGTGGCAGCTCAGGAAGAAAGAACCAGAAGGAGAAGCAGCCACATGTGTGGCTTGTCAGAAAGAAACATCTCAGTTCTTCCCGTGGATGTGGATGTTGATGCAGGGTCAGTATGGTGGGCAGGGAGATAACACATTCTCCCCAGTATTACCCAGAAGCTGTAGGGTTTTTTTGTTTTTTGGGTTTTTTTTTTTTTTTTTTTTTTTATTTTTTTTAATAATTAATCAGTATTTTTATTATAGTTTTGTGGGGTACAGTTAAGGGTTAGGTGTACAATTACGTTTCATTCAGACACCCTGTTGATAAGAGGTGTTTTCCCAGCCCCAGACAGATATTTGCTACTGTTAAT